AGAACATTTTTCCACCACCCTTTTCAGTGAGGTTGTTTCATAGATATGCAATACAGTTAGATTTTTTTTTTTTGTCACAGTTCATATTCCATCCTCAGATTCCCCCAACTTCCTAAATGATTTTTTCATGTGTGTTCATTAAGGTGCACTCTCTGTTGAAAAGTTCAGTGGATTTTGACATTTGCATAGTGTCATGCATCCACAATTATGGCATCATGCAGAATAGTTTCACTTTCCCTAAAATTCACTTGTCCTTCATCTATTCAGCCCCTCCAGCCCTGAACTTGCAACCACAGACTTCTTTATTGTCTGTGTAGTTTCACCATTAGCAGAATTTCATATAAAGAGAATCATAGAGTAGATAGCCATTCAGTCTGGTTTCTTTCACTCAGCAATCTTCGTTTAGGATTCACCCATGTCTTTGTGTGGCTTGACAGCACATTTCTTCTTTATCACTAAATAATATTCCATTGTATGAATGGACCAGTATTTTATTCATTCACTTATTAAAGGACAGTTTGTTTGCTTCCAGTTTTGGGAGATTATAAATGAAGCTGTCATAAATATTCATGTACAGGTTTTTGTGTGGCACTTCAGTTTTTGAAGCATTTCTGAAAACATTTTTTTCTATTTGATTTTCAGAACATTTGAGGGTAAATGAACACCATTCCCATGTTACACATTGGAAAGAGACTCAGGGAAGAGAAGGTTCTTGCCTCAGTTTTCATAATTGGTAAAGGGTGTTGCTTTGCCTCCCACAGATTTGTCACCCCTTTTCCCCTGGGTGATGGAGCCACAAAGGATTACTCGAAGTCCATCTCTTCTGAGCAGTGAGAAGCCCTGAAGTGGTTAATCTCCCCCAGAACCCTCAAGCAAGAGGCATTCCTTCCTTGGGAAATTAACCACAAATTGGGGTTCTCTTCCTGTATTTATTCTCCAGCCCAGGAAGTTACAGGAAGAGACATAGGTGGGGTTATCGTTTAACCATATAGGCTGGTAACTCTCAGTGAAACAAGCCAGATGATATTCCATAAGTCAATTTAAGTGATCCACCAACAAAAGCTTGATCTCAGCAAACATTCCTTTCTTACAGCAATTTCTCAGTATCTTTACATATCAATCAGTAACTTGTCTGTCTTTAAGCCAGCAACCTTGCTGTGTTACAAATCTTTATCTTATACCAGAGACTTTATAGCCTGAGAAAAATTTCCTTTCCTTTCCTAGGTCAATATTTGAAACTGCAAGGCTTTGGAAAACCAAACCCTGTGAAGTACATTTGCTTTATGAATCCTCTACAAAAGGACAGAGCTGAGACTTGCAGGTATGTCTTCTAACTCCAAATGTCATCTTCTTCTCATACTTTTTTCTGGCTCTCAGTAAATTATTTGAGAAAATAATTGAAAATCCTAATTTACTATCCAGATAATAGTAATTTTATTAAACCAGAGATTCTCATTTTTCTTGTTTGTCTGTGTCACTGCACTCATCCTCACATATAAAGCAAATACAACAAAAGGTTAATCTGCTAAAACATAAATGAAAAAGGAAATAAAAAAGCACTACTACTTTGCTACTTCTCATTTTGTGGTTTTACTTAGATAATGCTGTGAAGGCATCTCCTTTTTGTATTATGTAATTGCCCTTTGCCTTTACTTTCAATCATTTTGGATGATGTTTTAAACCTATTTAAAATTAAAATTATTTAAAAGCATCATAAAAGGTAGCACAAAAGGAGTGTTTACCATGTGCTAGACGCAGGGCTGAGCATTTCATTGGCTTAACTTAATTTATTCCTCACAACAACCCTCTGCAGTAGCTTCTATTATGATCCCCATTTTACAGATGAGGAAACTAAGGTTCAGGAGAAATTGCATAACTTGTCCAGGGACATGCAGCTAAGCCAGTAAGAGGTAGGAATGAAGCTAAGGATCTGTTGAGTTTTTTTTTTTTTTCTCACTTTATTAATGGTTTCCAGAGATACATTGTTTTCAGAAGCAGAGTGGTCTTTTTGGAGATGCAAACTCAATGTTGAAGACATGGGAGAAGGAAAACTAAAGTGAGGGTATCACTATGCCACCACATATCAGGCAAACCAGACAAGTGAGTCCTGTAACACAGTTACTGAACAGAAGAAGTTGAACCCAAGGAAAGAGGAAATAGTATTTCCCCTGGTGACACCATCTAATAAGAACAGGAGCTGCTCTGGGGCACTGGTCCATTATGTTGAAGTGATAATAGAGCAATTAGTTCTTTCCTCATTTTCCCATGTTAACCCAGGGATAAAATGGCACACTGAGCAAATATACTAAATTACATTAAAGTCATTGTTCAATTTGAAAATCTTAGCTGCTGGCTCCAGAGAGATTAGCAGTCTCTAGCAATTGTTTTTTGTTTTGAGCGGTTTTTTGCTCATACTTCACCCACACTGCAGTGAAAAACCTCAGCCATAGCACTGATAGTTTTTATCAGACACAATATAACTTTCTGCAGGCGATTCCAAGTTGGCTCTGTGAGGTTTCCAGAGAGAACTCTTGGCATGAACTAGAGGACTGAGTCATAGGCAGTAGCCAGTAAATACACTTTGGGAAGAATATTTACACAGTGCTGAGAATAAGAATGGCAGCCATCTATGCAAAAAGGATGTAAGCCTCTGGGCTCCTGATCTAGTTGATATCATTGGCATTATGAAGGCAGTGTTGATCAGGAAAATAGAAGGGGGACCCCAGCACTTTGGTACTCTACTACCTGCAGAAACTCAGCTGGCTTGCAATTCAGTGGTGATCAGTGGGTCCCGGAATTTGCCAGGTATTTCTGAATGTGGCTCTGTTGATAGAACCAAATGGGAGAGATTGAGGTCTTGGAGCTATTAAGGTCACATTTATACATCTGACAAATGTTCACTAATGGCCTACTATGTGCCAGGCATTGTACTAAGTTCTAGGTTCATGAGAATGAATAAGACACAATTCTTAACATCATGGAAGTCACAGTGTGAGGTTGAGACACATAAGTACATAATGATATGTAAACTAGTATGATGAGTTAAAAAAGAGTGTCAAGTCGACGTATTGGAACATTCTTTGATGATGATCTCTCAGCTACAGTAGACAGAAATGAGAGAAAGAGGATGTGAGTGAGCGAGTGGTGGGGGGCTAGGAGGAGGAGGTATCCCCTTCCCAAACGCATGGTAACCTTTGATTCTGCCCTTCCTTTTGTCAAATATTTGATAAAAACTTTTGATTTTCAGGACTGTGAATGAAAGTTGCAAGATGAAGAATGGAGCTGGGCTGTCCCAAAGAAAAGAGGTTTCCCTTCACCAAGAACGGGTTGATAGGCAATGGAGCCGTGTGTGTCTAAACTGTGCCACTGTGTCTTACTTCGCAGCACCCAGACGGGAGGTGGGATCTCGGCTAATGGTATGGACTGGGCGGGGATGGGGGTGTATCTTGATCTCCACAATCTGCACCCACACTTGACACTATGGGAATGAAGTGCCCACCTGCAAGTAGATCTGACTGATCTGGACCATGAGCAGTGTGATGACCGCCATGATGAACTGAAGACTTGAGATCTCGCCTCTATTCTTCTAGTACCACATAAGTCCCCCCATGCCCTACCACCGCCTCAATAAATATATGATGCCAGAGAGGTACTCCAAAATGTGATAACTTTTGATTTTTTGTTATCCTGGCATTTGAGAGTTTGAAAATAAATTTAAAACTTAAATGTAATTTAAGTTAAATTTACATTGGCATTTAATTTAAATGTAAATATTAACTTGAGAAAATAAGAATGTAACATTTTTAAAAATAAACTCTTTATTTCGGAATGATTTTAGATTTACTGAAAAGTTGGAAAGACTGTATAGAGGTCTCAAAATCCCTCACCTAAATTTGTATCACCTGTTTAAGTTTCCCGTAATGTTATCACTTTATATTACTGCGGTACATTTGTTAAAACTAAGAAACCAATGCCAGCATATTACTATTCACAAAATTCTAGACTTTATTCAGCTATCCCCAATTTTCCTATTAATGTTCTTTTTCTGTTCTAGGAACCAATCTAGGATACTGTATTTAGTTGCCATGTCTCTTTAGCCTCTGCCGGTCTGTGACAGTTTTTCACTCTTTCCTTCTTTTTCATGACCCTGACAGTTTCGAGGAGTACTGGTCAGGTATTTTGTAGAATATTCCTCAAATTGGATTTGTCTGATCTTCCTCTCGTGATTTAGACTGGGGTTATGGGTTTTTGGAAGGAATACCACAGGTTGAAATGCCCTTCTTATTACATCATATAAGGTATGCATGACATCAGTGATGATAACCTTGGTCACTTGGTTAAGACAATGCTGGCCAGGTTTCTCCACTGTAAAGATACTATTTTCCTTTCTCACACTCAATGTTTTGGAGTTGATTCACTAAGTCTAACCCACACTCGAATGATGGGGGAGATTAAGCTCTGACTTCTGGAGGAGGGAGTTTCTACGTGTGTTTGGAATTAATTTGTAAGGAAGATGTATCTCTTTCTCCTCTTTTATTTCTTTATTCAATTGCTTATTTATGTTAGTATGAGCTTGTTAATATTTAGTTTATGTTTTGTGTTATGGTCCAATACACTTTTTTATTGTGTTGCTTAAATTGTTCCAGCTTTGGTCACTGGGAGTTCCATTCGTTTAGCTCTTGTCTCTTTGGCATGCTCCTGTACATTTATTTTTTCAACTCTATCTCCTTGGTAATATCAAATGCTCCAGCCTTAACTTGTATTATCTCTGCTGTAGCCCTAGAATTCATCCATTTCACCAAGGAGCCCTGATTTCTTTTTTGCAGGATTGTATTTTGAAACCCAGGTCTGGGCCCTGGGAGTGATCGTTGCTACTGGGGTGTCATTGCTTTAAGGTCCTCTCAGTGGACGAGCTAGGTAACATACATATGAGGACCAACCCACGTACTCACATTTGTCTTTAACTGTTTCTGTATCTATCCAACTCTAAATACACATTAAGCTAAACATGGATTCATACTGATGTCTCTAATCCAGGTCCACAAGGTTACTGCAGCCTTCTATTCTTGCTTATCTATAACTTTCCTCTCCAGTGGTGAGAAACCTAGTACCTACCACCAAAGTATACTTGTAAAGTAGTTTCAGAATTATTGACCTGTACCCTTGTGATAAACAACTTTACCAACTGGAGTATGTATAGTATTTATGTACAGTTCCTTTTTCTTTACCCTTGCAGTTTCCAGTCTAAACACATTTTCCCAAGTTACTTAGGTCATCTCCTTTCCTCTTACCCCCTACAGTGAAGTTATGTCAGACATGTGTAATATAGTTAGATTCATTTTTCACAGCCTGCATATTGTCTTAGAATCCCCCAACTTTCTGGCTCATTACTTTTTATGTCACAGTTTATGTACATTAATATTCTTTGTTATGCAAAATTCTAGGATTTTGACAAATTCATGAAATCATATGGACACCACTCCATAAAGAACAATTCCATTGCCTTAAAATTTCCTCTGAAGAATACAGTAATTTGCTATTTTATGCAATTCCTCTGAAGAATATAGTGATTTACTATATCATGCAACTTAATGTGGAACAAATTTATCATACCTTCCCAAGGCAAATATTGACCCACTGTATACCTATCCAATCCCTCCCTATTCCAGTCCCTCTTTGTTTTCAACCACTTCTACATCCACTGTTCCCTGGAAACCATTGATCTGTTTTCTATCCCTATAGTCTTACTTTTTCCAGACTGTCATATGAATGGAATTATACAATATGCAGTTTTTAGGGTTCTGCTTCTTTTATTTAGCAAAATGCCTTTAAGATTCACCTGTGTTGCTGAATGAATTAATGAACAGTTTAATGGCAGCCATGATGGATGGAAGACTTGAGATCTTTCCTCTTTTTTTTTTCTGGTACTGTGTGGGTCTACCCCCACCTCCACCTAACACTTGAATAAATACATCAATGAACAGTTTAATGGCAGCCATGATGGATGGAAGACTTGAGATCTTTTCTCTTTTTTTTTCTGGTACTGTGTGGGTCTACCCCCACCTCCACCTAACACTTGAATAAATACATGACTTTAGGGAGGGACTCCAAAATATGACTGGTTTTTATTTTTCACCACCATGGCAAGTGAGGCTTTTAAGCTGTGTTTCAAATTATCTTGATAAAAGAATAATATAATAAGTTAATATTTTATGCAACTTAATATAGAACAAATTCATCAGACTTTCCTGAGGCAGATACTGTATGCTGGCTTACTCTAAACTTATCTGATCCCTCTCTATCTGAATTCTTCTTTTTTGTCTTCTTTATAATAATAGAGGCTGGATTTCTTTACATATATAATCTATGCCTCCCTTGAAGCTAAGGGTGGCCAGTAATGCAGTTCTTGTCCTTTGCTTGTTTATATAGGTCCCATTACCTTTGTTCCTTCCTGGAATGTGGACATGCTGATGTAGATGCTGGCTCAAGGTTCAACATCCATTTTGAGACAATGAAGACAAAAAGTGGTGTAAGGAGACAGAAGGAGCCTAGTTTCCATATGGCATTGTTGTGCTATTGCGCAAACCATGAACAAGTGATCCTGATTTTTCTTGCATGAAATAAATAGACTATGAATTTAAGCTACTGTTGTCATGTTCTTCTGTTGCTCATAGCCAAACACAACCTATCTGATTGATACTGCAATATCATTATATACAAGGTACTCTGGGATGTTAGAGAAGCGAATTATGATGATTGCCAATTCAGTGAAATAATAAAAATTTCTATTAAATTAACACATTTGAGGCCTTATTAATTAAAAATAGTGTGCCAAACCTTTCTGCAGGTTCTTTCTGTCTTAAGGAAGCTTATAATATAGACAGTGTATACTTGAGAGTCCTGGACATGGAATTGAGATCTGGGTTCAAAGTATGTCTTTTAATTAGCCATGTAACCTAATTGTGTTTATGTGTTTATTGCTGCTTTTTATTAACTAATTATTTATTATGTATCAGGCACCCTGTGCCAAGACCTTTAAATAATTACACTTGATCTTCACAACTAAATGAAGTAGGACTTATCACTATCTCTCATTTTGTAGGAAACTGAGGCTCAGAGCAATAAAATGAGTATTCGAGGTCACACAGTGAGTAAATAGCAGAACTAGAATTCAAATCTAGGGCTAACTCCAACCTTTTTTGAGTTTTAACATCCTCATCTGTAAAGTAGTTGTTGATATATCAATCTTTCCTGCCTCGGAGGGTTTTTTCGGGGCTAAAAGAAAAATAAAATTTGGGGTTGGACATAATTTTTTTTAGTCATAAAGTTCTGTGGAATTATAAGGTATTATTCTCATACCTGTAGCATGGAATATACTCAAAAATGAATTTAAATGAATAGTGAGGATAAACAGATATGTATGTGACCAAATAACTCTACATCAAGATAGTCTATGGTAAGTGGAACAAAGTACAAAGAGAAACAAGAAAAAGAGGTTAATTGCAAAGTTAATTCCTAAATCCTGGCAGACTTTATAGAGGTGATGGCAGGTCAATTTCATCTTCAAAAATGGCTAAGACTTTGAGCATCTGTGAGGACCACTAAGTGAGCATCAGCAATCTGTGTGCAAGTCCTTACCTCCAGCTAAATACCCCAGAGCCATTAGCGACAGGAGCCCCATCTCATTCCTCTTTTCATTGCTCTCATTCATAGCACAGGCCTGGGGCATGTGTGTGCTGATGGTGTTTTAGTTGGATTACTTTGATTTGGGATGCTTTTGTTTGGCAAGATTTCTTAGTTTCTTAAGGACAAATTGGTAACAGTTTACTTGCTAAACTATTAGAAACTTAAGTACATTTTCTAGAATTTCAAGAAGCAAATTCCAATTCTCAGACAGTGCAAACATTACAAGGACTTGAGACATTTTGTCAATTGCTATGTTTCCCCCAGAACAAAATGTGGAGAAATGTCATCAACAAAATGGAAAATAAAAGTCAAGTTTACACTCATCCATTATATCTGTGTTGTGTTAATTCTAGGACTTTTGTCTAAAGGGCATTCAAACAAATGGAGAGAATGAGAAAAAAATCTATACAACTGAATAGTTTAATTCATTAATTTATCCATTTCTATGTGGCAGGTACTGTTATAGGCAATAGGGATAAGCCAGTAAACAGAACAATGTCTTGGTGTTGGGTATACTGTTACCAAATATCTGGATATTTATCTCTTGCCCCTCATTCCTCAGCTGCATCCCACAAAGACTCTTGGCAAATCACACTTAGTTCCCTAATACTTTGGGAATAAGAATCATGTTCTCTGCATCTGAGCATCCTGTCATCCCTAGCATGGAGTATTACTCGTGTGTGTGTGTGTGTGTGTGTGTGTGTGTGTGTGTATGCGCATGTGTATTTAGGGCAGGGGCAGTGGGGATGACACATACGGAGGTGAAAAAAAATGGGCTTTTGAGTCAGATTGAAAGTGATATTAGATCCAAACCTGTGTTTAATGACAATCACTTGACAAATATTTATTGAGTGGCTACTATGTGCTAGGTACAGAAGTTACAGTGGTGAACAAGACAGACTTGGCCCCTTTTTTCACCTGGCTCATATTCTATTGATTAGAAATAGAGAATTAAACAAGTGTGTTAGCTGTGGTCCTCTGAGAAACAGGCATCAAACAATGTGTTGGAGAACATGCCTATGAAGAAAAGGTGAGAGGGAGCCAGGGGAGGCTGGGAGCTCATGGGAGAACCATCAGGCCACAATGCATGTCTGAACTCTAGGGAGGAGAGAAGGAAGTTAAGAAATATGTGTAGGAAAAATCTACTAGACAGTTCTCATAAAGTTTTGGCAAAGGTAGTGAAAGTCCTCCAGCCAAGTTAACAATCAGAGGAGTCCCACATCTACCCAGAATGGACCTACCTTCGTATTCTGCCAGGGACCAGCCCCAGCACAGAGATTGTAAAGGTCCCCACTGGTAAGGGATCCTCCAAAAGGGAGGAAGGGCAGCGTCAGC